ATTGTTCAAAGAGGCATCCTATGAGAAGCGGATTATATGAAAGGGGCAAAAGAAAAGCCCTCGTTAAGACCTAGAGGTTGGAGTGTCTTAAGTTTGTATATCCATCTTGACTCTCTCTGTCTTAATATTTTATCATAATCTCCACGTCTCAAAGTCCTTTTAACCAGCTCCAAACCGCAGAACCTAAGATTATTAGAATTGCCCTGATGGTGTTCTTTGAGATGTCTCGATATGGGTGTCTCGAGGCGATTTCTAGGAGATCTCACATGCTCCATAATCCTATCCTTAAAAGCCCTAAAAGTTTTTCCCACATATTTCTGTCCACATGTGCAAGATAATAAATATACAAGGCCCTTCGTGTTACAGTTGAAGAAGCTTTTGACTTGGAAAGAATCACGTCCCTGGCTGTCCTTGATAATCTTAGAGTCCCTATGGATAAATTTGCAGGCTACGCATCTACCGCACCCATATGTTCCAACTGGGGGAGTACCAAGCCAAGTGGCGCGTGGTTGTGGTTTGATGGAGAAATGGCTAGGAACCAATAAATCACGAATATTCCTTCCACGTCTGGATGTAATATTAACATGTGGGCTTAGAGTATCTTTGAGATGCACATCATTGAGCAGGATAGGGCAGAAACGTTCAAGTGATTTCCGAACTTCTGGCCATCCCACATCGAATATTGCTATCATGCGAATATTTCCAACGTCCTGATTAGTGTCCATTTTTGGACGATCGCACAGTAGCTCACTCCTCTCAGTCTGGAGTGCTCTTTTGTAAGCCCTTTTTAGACATCGGTTTGGGTAACCTTTCTCCTTAAAATTTTGCCGAAGTTGTTTCGCCTTGATTATAAAATCTTGAGTGTCACTACAGTTTCTCCGGAGGCGAAGATATTGGCCTACCGGTATATACCCTCTTTGAGGGGACGCGGATGGTGGCTAGTCCAATGTAAAAGGGAATTAGTTGCTGTAGGCTTCCGAAATAACGTGGAATGCAATGTACCGTCTTCACTGATAGTGATAGTGACATCAAGGAAATTTAAAGAGCGTCCTCCGAATTCCGATGTAAATCGGAGGTTTTCATCATTTTGATTGAGGAGTGTCACCATATCCTGAAATTCCCCAGGAGTACCTTGCCAGACAATCAGGATATCGTCGATATAACGACCCCACCACAGGACCTTAGATAGGTGTCCACTTAACCTGTCTGAGTGGCGCACTTGTTCTTCCCACCACCCCAGGTGGAGGTTTGCATATGAGGGGGCACAAGCTGTCCCCATAGCAGTACCCCTCACCTGGTGGTAGAACCGATTATTAAACAGAAAGTAGTTATGTGATAAAATGAACTTAAGAAGGCGTAGAAGGAAAGTCGTATAAGGGTCATCACTTGAAGTTTTTTGAGTAAGAAAGAAGCTCACATGATCAAGACCTCTATCATGGGGTATAGATGAATATAAGGATTCAACATCCAGACTACATAAATGAACGGTGGAAGAGAATTTAAGGTTAGCCAATTTATTAAGTGCCTGTTTAGTGTCCCTGATGTATGAGGGTAGAGTTTCGACAAAGGGTCTTAAAACTTTATCAATATACAGGCTACCATTTTGCGTGAGGTTATCGACCCCAGAGACTATGGGGCGCCCAGGGGGGGTCTCTAAATTCTTGTGGATCTTTGGCAGGCAGTAGAAGGTTGCTATCTTAGGGTGACGAGAGAGAATAAATTCAAACTCGTCACCCGACAGCAACCCCCCACTGCGGCCCTCGTCCAGGATCTCTTTGTACATAGAGAGAAAAGCATCAGTGGGATCTTGTTTAAGGACTGTATATGTCTCAGTGTCCTTTAGGACTAGTTCCGCCATTTCAAGGTATTTTTCCACATCCATCACAACGATATTTCCCCCCTTGTCGGCGGGTTTAATGACAATATCAATATCATCTTGTAAGGTTTTTAAAGCACGTTGTTCCCGTCTCAGGAGATTATCACGTGAATGGATGCGGAGAGATTTAAGATTAATTTTTTCAATTTCAGTTTTGGCTGCTTCCAAAAAAAGTTCGATATTCCTATAGCTCGAAAAATTTGGTGTGAAACGACTCTTGGATTTTAAACCTGTACGGTTTGGTGTGATATTAGAGTCATTTTCATCCAATAGAGCTAGCAAATTAGTGAGACATTGAAAATCACTTGATGCAAGTCCTAAATCCTTTGCCCTTCTTTCATTTTGTATAGAATGGAATTTATATAACGCCAGTTTCCTAACAAAGAGATTGAGATCTCTTATCCAACCGAACTTGTCAAATGGTGGTGTAGGTACAAATGAGAGACCCCTCCCCAGAACAGCTTCTTGGTCCAGGGTTAGAGTTCGGGAAGAGAGGTTAACTATCTGGGATTTACGTTCTAATATATGAATATCACCTAAAACCTCTTCCTCCTTTGTGGTTTTGATTGATCTTTCATGTGGTAGTTCCTAGGCTGTCTAGGGGTGCTTGAATCGGAGTCAGTCCAATCCGTTTTGCCTGAGATGGAACTGCTCCTGCTGTTAGTATATGTCCTATATTTCCTTTTTGTACTGAAGATATTTCCTTCTTTAAAGTCTCTATGATCTTAGAAACTTGTGGGGGGGGGTTTTTGTTTTGTTTTTTTTCCTCGACATGTTTTTTAAAAAGTAAATGTAACTTGTTTTCTAAAAGGGGAAATTTGGTTTGGTCCTTAAATCCCTTCACATTGCAAAGTTCCTTTTCTAGGTTTTGATTCACGGATTCTATGTTCTCTGACTCAAGCCTAACTAAAAACTGCATTAGTATAGCAGAGCAATCCAGTAGGATGTTATTCCATTCCTGAATTTGCTCATCTGTAGTCGCTTTATCTGGAAGTGGAATCTCTGGTCTTAGAATTCGTGGTACCAGTTTTTGGTCTAAATATTGTTTTAAACTGATTAACTCCCAGTACCCTTTAATTTGTTGTTGGCAAAGTTTTTGCATTTTAAAGAATATTTCACTAATATCGTTGCTTGGTGGTGTAATAAGAGGGTTTAATGAAAAGACATGGTTAATGTCTAAAGACCGAGGATCAGGGTTCACTATACCTGATAAAAAGGTGGACATATATAACTGGTGTCTTTGGTTGTTGGCTGTAAAAAAGGGACTAAAACCTAAGTATAATGTTTGAAAACGGAACAAAATAAGCCAGTTTATGGGGGGTAACCCCAAGTATAATCTGTGTATAGAGAGTAGTGTACCAAATAAAGGAAACTGGGATAAATGGCAGCTATACAGGTACAAACTATCAAGTCAGATAAAGAAGAATCTCGAATATTTAATGTAGAAGCAAAAAATAAAAAAATAAATCCTGTATTGATACAAGAATATATTAAAAAATGCCTAATGACAATCACCCAATGTACTGTATACAAACTAAATAGTGAAAACCCAAATCGAATAGAAGGAATGCTAAAATATATTCCAAAATATAAATCGATGCCTGATAAGTCCATATATTATGAAGAATTGGGTCTATAGCGGATATGCTAAGTGTATAAGAAACAGCACATGTCTGTGCGGAGTATACTAGTTGATCGATATATGCCTTGGAATAACACCTGTTGGTCAGGGTCGGTATATAAGCACGGTTATAAGCGCTGATTGTATTTGTATTTAACTATTCCTGACATAGCTGGACCATCTCCTACTGTTAATGCTACATTACCAAGTGATAGAATAGTCCCTTTTCTGCTAGTCACTGGGGTAGTCTGTTCTGTTGTGCAGGAGAAATATATATTTCCCTATGAGCAAGGCCGTCTTTAATATTGATTGGACCCTGGGCAATAATTTACATGGGCCCCCTGGACCGTGTCTTCCCAAACCCTATCATGCAATCACGCCCTCCACCACAAAACATACTCCCCCACCCACCACGAGTAGTAAAAATGTAAACATAAAGAACTGGTTCACAAATAAGTCGTTAGCTTGACCTACTTGCAACCTGTAGCTTCTTTTAACCGCGGTCTTGTAGTATATTTTTTTTATTAAGTTATATGTTGTTGGAAGAACAAGCATGCTAATATCTTAATAACAATAACTTTCAGTAACAGTGAAAATCAACATTATTATGTTTAAATTATAAAACAAATAACCATGTTGGCTAGTAATATCACAAAAAAAAAAATAAAATGTAACAATGCAATTAAAAAAAACAATCTCAAACCTTACAATTTGTTGAATCCAAGTGCACATTTCCCATTCCAATATGGAGAATAGGGAATCAAGTACCAGTGTTACATGGTCAACCTTATTATTATAATTCCTGTTAGGCACCAACTGCTGCAGTAGCAGACTGTTCTAAAAGAATACGTAGTTTGACAACCATTAACTTAAAGTGCAGAGAACTTTTACATACAATAGTAAAGAAATATTTTAATGCAACTTAAAACAATGAGTCTATGTGCTTTCTGAGTTTGAAAAATCAAGACCGCGAAGTATATCGGATTCAGCAGACATTATAGATAGTTTGGTGAGATGGCTCTGGCTCATGGTTGTGCGTTGAAGTGTTTTTTTTTGTTTGTTTTTTAATTTCATTTTTGAAAGATAGTTCACCTGAACTGTTAGAGATCATTAAAGCAAGGTGGATTTTTAAAGCTATTTCCGTGTTGGGAAAATATCTCTTACATCCTTGGCATAAATTGTACTGTACATGAATTGCGCTATGCTGCAATTGTCTGGTTTTTTTATCCAGGGAAAGAGAAATGACTGAAATCGAAGTAGCTCATCATCAAATGTTGTGCCCAGATCATGCTTGTAGAAAGCAGACAACTTTCTGCTGCAATTTTAATGGATTCAGAGTCCATTGCTGGAAAGGTTATAAAGAAACCAAATAAATAAAACACTTCACTGTAGGCTCCTAGGCGATGCGCCAGACACATTAAAAGTTTGTCAACATATGGGCGAAAGGCCTTAGCATAAAATTACTCCTTTGGCGTTAATTGTGCTTCTTCACTGTGTCCATAGTCAAGTGGCTGCTGACGGACGTTGACAGCGGTGTTCCACAATATACTCTTTAGCATTTGTTATACGCTTGCCAGCTTCTTTTAACGATTTCAAAACGCCAACAGCAACATTTAGGTTCAGCTGAACAGACTGCAGGGTTTTACTGCTCTTGTTGTAACGCTGCAAAACAGTTCCAGAATTCTGCAAAAATCGATGTCTCAAGTTTGCTTATCTGATCAAATAGTCCTGTTACGGTAGTACGGTACTCAATGTCAGTTGAAAATTCAAACAAAATGTCCATTATATTTTCATAGCCGTGGACTAATGCTTGACAAGCATCTGCACGATATGACCAGCGTATGTCACTTAGCTTTTTTGGCATGGACATAGAGACTTTCTCGTCAAGCTTGTCTTTAAGCTTCTTGTAGCGCTGAGTTGAACCACTAAACAATGTATAAAGAGTTTGTACAAAATTTAAAAAACCTTAGTCTCACTATACAAATTTGCAGCATCCTTTCCGACAAGTGTCCAAAACAAGGTATGTACTTGGCATATTTATTCATGTTTACAATTCTTGCTTGCATACCCTTGTAGTGGCCAGAAATGTTGCTTGCATTGTCGAAACTTTGTCCACGGCATTCTTGTATGGTAAGTCCAACACTATTAAGAAATGCTAAGAGCGCATCTGCCATTTCTTCTCCTTTATGCCTTGTTGAGGGTAAAAAAAAAATTACAAAATGCTCAGCAGGTTGATTTCCTTCTAAATATCGAAAAATCACTGTGAGTTGGTCAGTATGAGAATCTTCTGCTGAATCCACAAACAGAGTAGTACTTTGCCATTTTTTTTTTTATAAATTCTTTATTTTGGAATTTCAGTTATATGGGGGGTAGGGTACAGAAAAGAAAACTTGGGATAAAGTATACTTTCATAGAGATCATGAGTTGCTTTGATGTGTTACAATGCTTTCAAAAAGGTAGGGTAGATATATAATTTTGTTCTTTACCTGGTGCTCTCTTTCGCTAGTGTTGTGATGTTGCGGTTTCAACTCCGGGAGAGAAGTTGGAGTCTTATTCGTAGATGGTTGTAGCACTATGTTGCAGTATGTGAAGTTTTAGCGGGTATAGCACATCTGTTTTTGGTTCAGAAGTTACCTGGTTGTGTGCGTATTACGTCTTTCGGTTCAATGTTTGGTCGGTGTGTTTATGAGGTTTTCCTCGGGGGGAGTAAGAAGTGGTATTGGGGGGGGGGAGGGTGGGTCTGGTGGGGGATTTGGGTTTCTTGCCGGGTGAGTAGGCCTGTCATCTCTTAGTGTCTTTTAGTTTGTGGGTCCTTGGTGCGTGGGCGGTTCTGGCCTGGAGTCGGCCGTGGTCTGTCCCATGGGCTTTTAGTTAGGGACTGCAGGGGCTGTCGCCCAGGGTTGGGTGTATTGGTCAAGGTCTCGGTGGGTGTTCCTTGTTCTATGTGTGGTGTGCGGTGGGTAGTCTCTGTTGGCTTTGTCTGAAATGCTTATTTGCGCTTTGTGTCTGGGGTTGTGAGTTCCGTCAGGGGTGGTCTGGGGGTTCTTCCCTCCTGTCGTGTTTGCGTGGTGTGGTGTTCGTGATAGGTGCGTCCAGGGCCCCTGTCTGGGTGGTGGTCTATGCTGGAGGTGCTCTGGTTAGAGCTCTTGTTTGCGTTGGCTGAATATTTCGTATGTCCTTGTTTGGTTAGTGTTCGTGGTCTGGTGCTGGCGGGTTTGGGGTGGTTCATGGGGATCAGTCTGTTTTCGTGTTGTGGGAGGGGAGGGTTGTGTGTGGTGGATCTAGTGTAGGGTGGTGTGACTGTGTTTGTCTAGTGTGGTTGGGGTGAGCGGTTTGGTTGTTTCTTGCTGTGGGGATGGGGGTTCCGGGAAAGGAACATTTTGGTTGGGAAGTGTGGTTCCCGGGACGGCCTTTGAGGTTTTCCCTCCTCGGGGGCCACCCCCCGCCTGGTGCATCCCTTGGCAGTAAGTGCCTTATATTGTTGGGAATTCGAAGATCCATGGTTCCCATATCTTGTCGAAGTGTCTAGTGGTATCATGTACCAGGGCGGTTAGTTTGTCCATCTTCATGGTTTCATTAATTTTTCGTTGGATGAGCGCTACGGGTGGGGTGTCAGGGCTTCCCCATTTCTCCGCGATTGCTCGCCTAGTGGCTAGTGCCAGTTTGGCTATCAATTTATTGTGTGCCCTTGGGGTGTCTCGGAGGGGCCTGGAAAGGAGCCACAGCCATGGGTCCATCGGGATAGTGGTGTGTAGTGCCTGTGATGCCAGTTGCGCTATATGGTGCCACACCGTGGCTACTCGAGGGCACTCCCACCATGTGTGTATGAAGGTTCCCCTGTTCCCGCACCCCTTCCAGCAGAGGTCGTTGTCGGATTGTTTCATTTGTTGCAAACGTAGTGGAGTGAGGTACCATCGGAAAAGAGTTTTATACGCTTGTTCTTTATGATTGACACATATCGATATTGTTGCTGTGGCCTCCCATATACTTGCCCAATGGCTTTGGTCTCCTATAGGGCCTAGGTCCCTCTCCCAGGCTGCCATATAGGGCATTGAACCTTCTCGCATGCTCCTGCTTAGTAGGGAGTATAGGGAGGATATCTGTCCTTTGTGGAGTGGGTGGTTGTTACATGCTTTTTCTAGCGGGGTGAGGGGAGTGGTGCTTGCTTTTTGTATGGCAGGTTTATCGACAAAGCTGCGGATTTGTAGGTATCGGAAGAAGTCCCGTGTGGTGAGGGGGGTCTGCTGGGGGAGTTCTGCAAAGGGTATGACACTTTGGTTCTGGTAGAATTGGTGAATGCGTGTTAGGTCATTGTCCTCAAAGTGAGTGAAGTCCTTCGGGGACATGCCTGGTGTGAATTTTGTGTTCCGGAGGATGGGCATCAGGGGTGAGGGGTGGGAGATAAGCTTGTGTTTCGCCACTATTTTATCCCATGTTCTGATCGTTGTGAGGATTGCTGGGGAGGTATAGGGAGCTGGTGGTCTGGCTTCTTTTGGTAGCCAGATGTATAGGGAGGGAAAATCGTAACCGAATATGTTATGTTCCAGGTCGACCCATCGTTTAAGGCCGGGAGCTGCATGAAGTTGGATTGTTTGCGCTATGTGTGCCGCGTGAAAATATTGGGTGAAATTAGGGAGTCCTAGTCCTCCCTGTCTGTTTGGTATGTATAGCGTTCGTCGGGCGATCCTTGCTCTTCTTCCAGCCCATATGAATTTGTCTATTTTGGTTTGCAGTTTTTTGAAGTCGGAGGTAGTGATCGGGATTGGGAGGGTTTGGAAAAGGTATAAAAATCTTGGGAGAAGGTTCATTTTTATGGAGGTCAGTCTGCCTATCCAGGAGATTGATAAATCCTTCCATTTGTCTAGATCTTGTGTGGCCGTTTCTAATAGGGGCGTGTAGTTTAGGTTGTAGGTTTGTGTGAGGTCCGCTGGGAGAATGGTACCCAGGTATTTGATGGCATTTGGTTGGTATGTGAACGGGTGGCGTGCTCGGAGAGTGCGGAGGGTGGGGTGTTCTATTCGAATCGGGAGGGCTTCCGTCTTTTCCATATTTATTTTGTACCCGGAGATGTTTGCGTATTTCGTTATTTCTCGAAACAAGTGTGGGAGAGAGTTTAGCGGATCCGTAATTGTGAGAAGTATATCGTCTGCATATGCAGCGATCTTATAGGTTTCATTCCTGACTCGGATTCCTTGTATGTCATTTTGGCTTCGGAGGACTTGGAGTAGTGGTTCTAGGGATATGGCAAACATTATTGGTGAGAGTGGGCATCCCTGACGTGTCCCATTCTTAATTTGAAAGGAGGGGGATGTAGTCGAGTTCAGGAGGAGGGTGGCTGTGGGGGTCGAGTATAGAGTTTTCAGTGCGTTGGTGAAGGGTGTTGGAAAACCGAATTTCTGTAACGTTGCAAATAGGAATGGCCAGAGCAGTCTGTCGAAAGCTTTTTCAGCGTCAAGGGAGAGGATCAGGGTCGGGATGCGTCTGTGGTCAGCGTACCAGATGAGGTCGAAGGTGCGTCTAGTGTTATCGCTGGCCTGTCTGTTGGGATAAATCCCACTTGGTCTGGGTGGATAAGTCGGGGCAGGAGTGGGTTGAGTCTTTCCGTCATGACTTTCGTGAATATTTTAATGTCTACATTAAGCAGGGAAATTGGTCTATAGTGTCCGGGGTCCAGATGAGATTTGCCGGGTTTCGGTATGAGGCATATGTTCGCCTGTAGCATGTCAGGGGGAAGGGGGTCCCCCTGTAGCAGTGCGTTAAAGAGGTCACTGAGTTGCGGGATTAGAGCTGCTGCGAAGGTTTTATAGTATAGTCCCGAGAATCCATCTGGGCCCGGGCACTTATTAGGTTTCAGCGTTTTGAAGGCGTTCGCTATTTCTTCAGGTGTGATTGTTTCTGAGAGTCGGCTAGCTTCGCCGGGCGTCAGTGAGGGAAGGGTGAGGGAGTCAAGGTATTCATTGATCATGTTCGCGAGTGGAGTGGGATTCTGTCTGTGTTGGGGGCTGTGGTCGTATAGCTCCGAAAAGTATTCTTGGAATACTTTTGCTATTTGGTCTGGTGACTCCTGAGGTGTCCCGTCTCTTGAGTGGATTTTGGTGATTTTTTTGTGCGTTGCTCTGCGGTTGAGTTTACGGGCAAGCAAGGAGTCGGCTTTATTAGACTTTTCATAGAAGAGCTGGCGGGTCCATTGGAGGGCCTTGGCTGTGTCCGCTGACATGAAGTTTTTTATTGCTGCCTGGTGTTGTTGTATTTTAGTGTTCAGGTCTGGCGTGGGTTGTTTTTTGAATGCGATTTCCAGTAAGCGGAGTTCCTTTAGGTTTCGTTCTAAATTGGCTAGGCGCTTTTTCTTGTGGTGGGCTGCCTGGCTTATCAAGGTGCCTCTGATAACTGTTTTATGTGCCGCCCATAGTATACCCGGGGAGGTGACGGGTTGTTTGTTTAGGGAGAAATACTCTGTGATGGCCCGGGAGATCGAATCTCGGATTGCAGGGTTATGTAATAGTGTGGGATTCAGGCGCCAGGACCATTGGCGAGGTACGCCTGGTGGGTCAAGAGTGAGGGAAATATCTGCGTGGTCCGACCACGTGATTGATCCAATAGATGTGGATTTGAGCATAGGTACTACGGATGGGGATATAAGAAACATATCTATTCTCGAGTGGGATTGGTGTGGGTGTGAGTAGAATGTGTAGTCCTTAGAGGTTGGATGTTGGGCTCTCCAGGCGTCTACCAGGCGAGTTCTCACGAGGAAGGATTGGAGGATTTTGTCGGTTTTCGCTGAATGACCGCTAGGTTCTTTTTGTTTACCCGCTCTATGCCTGTCCATCGTCGGGGATGGAGTGGCGTTGCAGTCACCTCCTACAATCAGGTGGTGTGAGGAAAACAGTGCTAGGTGTGTTTGTAGTGCTTGCCAAAAGGAGGCGGAAGGTGTATTAGGGGCGTAAATCGAGGAGAAAGCATATTTTTGATCGCCTATCCTCCCAGCTGCTGTGACGTATCGTCCCTGTGGGTCCGCGTCGACTTTTTCCACTGTGAGGGGGCATGCTTTATGGATTAATATCGCAACTCCGTTTTGCTTGCCTGTTGGTGAGTTGGCTAGGAAGTATCTATTGAAGTGTCGGTTTATTAGTGGGAATGCTCTGTTTTGTTGAAAGTGGGTTTCTTGTAAGAGGATAATTTGCGCTTGGGTTCTATTCGCCCAGCGCATGGTTTGGTGGCGCTTTATTGGGTTATTGAGGCCCTTGCAATTGATAGAGACACACTTCAGCGAGGGCGCCATGGATCTTCCTTCCTTGCGTTCCCTGTCGGGACGCGGTGCCCCTAGTCGGCGTGCAGGGAGACCAGGCGGGTGGATGGGTGTAGGGTAGCGGTGTGGTGGGGGGGGTAGGGGAGTTTACGGGAAGGGTTGTGTGGTGTGGTGCTAAGAGTGGACGAGAGCGTAAGCTGCAGGTGTGCGGTCTGAGTCAGTTGATCCTGGTCTTACCAGAATGTATAGCCAGGTTGGTTGGGAGCGGAGTTTTGCCCCGCCTGTGTGCGGGGACAATGAGGGGTCTGAAGTTGGGTGTGGTGAAAGGGGTTAAGAGTGATGGGTTCGAGAAGGCTGGTATGTCCCATGCCTCCCCCCGAGCCAAGAGCGTTATTGAAGGCGTGGGCTGTTTCTCTGGGTGTGTATCAAGAAAAAACAGGAAGTGTACCTACATGTTATATATCTAAAGTACAGAGCAAAATGTGGTTACATAATGGGTATATCAATCTCAGACAATAATGCTGAGAAGGTATACTATTTAGCAAAGTATACCACTGTAATATAATCCAAAAAGGAAAAAATAAATAAATTTTATTAATAAATATTAAAACCAAAGACATACAAGTGTACACTGGTGAAGACCACACAAAAAAAGTGCTACAATAACTACCTATGAATAATTGTGCAAATAAAAAGATGAAAAGAATCTCAATCAGTGGTATTAGTCTTATGTATCAGGACTGGAAAGTAATCACCGGGTCACTTGGTAGTTATAACCGACGCGCGCGTTTCGCCCGACCTGGCTCGTCAGAGGGGAACCGGTCGGTACACTGCGTCTGGTTTAAATCTGTGAAACAATGTTTCTATTGGTTAGTCAAAAAAGTTCCTGATTGGTGCAATCTCGTTAATGTTGTGACGGAATCAAACTCGTTTCAAGAGGAGTAGATTAACCCTTGCTCTGCCAAGTTCTTTGACTAATTTTAGTAGGCGATCATAATTAGAGAAAAAGAGCCATATTTGAAGAGATTAGGTGTGAAGGATATTATGAATATAGTCGAGTTTCTCTAAATATTGCTGGTTAAGAGGATAAAGAGAGCAAACAATATAACTAATATAGATGAGAAACAATAAAGAAAAAATCTGATCATAAAGGAAAATATATGAGTGTATGCAAAGACACAAATGATTGGTGAGTATGTTGTTATAATGGAGAAAAGGCTATCTGTCATAATAAATAGTAGCCTAAACACTGCAAATTAGTACACCAAAGCATTAACCTAGAGAAGATGATAAGTACTTATGTAGGTAAAGATGACCAAAATTAAAGGCATTAAAAATATAAATATGATATTAGTAGAAAATGAGTCCATAATAGGCTGGCCATAAAGTAAAAGGACCAGAGTAGTCTGAGTTCAGTACTAAGCCCATCGTTTATTAATGTATGAACGGGGTGAAGTTGAACTCTTCGTTCAGACCATCAGGTGCTAATGTTTTTAAAAAATAAATCCATCTAGACTCTTTCATTAGGAGTATTTTATTGAAGTTCCCTTTCCTAGTGTTTAGGGTTAATTTCTCCAATGCTTGGAATGTAAGATGTGTTGGATCAGCCTGATGGAAATTTCGAACATGGTTTGCTACTGGAGTCGAGATATTTAAGTTGGTAACAGAGCAAGTGTGTTGTAGTATCCTTCGTTTTAATTGCTGGTAGGTTTTACCTACATATTGGATGCCACAGCTACATGTAATTAAATAGATCACCCGAGTAGAGCTACAGTTGATAAATTCCTTAATTTTGTATTCTTTTTTTGTTATAGAGCTTGTTATCATTTTGGTGGGTTTAATGAATTTACATGCCTTGCAATGCCCGCAGCGATAAATCCCAGTAGTCTGGGTTAACCAAGTGGATTGGGATGGTTTCATAGGTTCAATATGACTATGAACCAAGATGTCTCTCAGGTTTTTTGCCCTACGCCGTGATTTGAGGAAAATTACCAATATTATCGGCAAGATCTATGTCATGCTGAAGTATTGGCCAGTTGTGTGTCATTATTTTTTGTACTTTGTCCCAATATAAATCATACGTGCCTACACAGCGAGTTATTTTCGTTTCTGACTTAGGTCTACTCGACCTTAAGCTTTCACTTCTATTTATTAGTAGTGCTCGTTGGTAGGCTCGTTTAAGGATTCTATTTGGGTAGCCTTTCTGTTTAAACATAGTTCTTAATTTGTTGGCTTCCCTTTGGAAAGATGTTTCAGTGGAACAATTGCGCCTGGCGCGCAAATACTGGCCAAAGGGTATACCTGACTTTAACTTAACTGGATGATAACTAGTCCAGTTAAGTAGACTGTTGGTTGCTGAATCTTTCCTGAAAAGTTCAGTTTCTACCTTCCCATCTTCCAAAACTGTGATGTTGAGATCTAGAAATATCAGATGTTCAGAGTCTATCACATGTGTGAGTTGTAGGCCAATGGTATTATTGTTTAGATCTCTAACCAGTTTTTGGAATTTATCGACAGATCCTAACCAAAAGACCAGTATGTCATCAATGTATCTATGCCAGCTATAGATACAAGTGTCATACTGGTCTTTGGTGATAGCTGGCAAAATGGTCTCCTCCCACCAGCCCAAGTATAGGTTGGCGTAGCTGGGAGCACACGCCGTACCCATCGCGGTCCCTTTGAGTTGTAGATAATATTGTCCATTAAAGACAAAAAAGTTATGAGTGAGTACAAATTCCAAAAGTTTGACAATAAAATTGATTTGTGCTGCTGAAAAGCCTGGTGTTTTATTGAGAAAGTACGACGTGGCCAAAAGACCTATATTGTGAGGAATATTGTTGTAGAGAGCTACAACGTCTAAGCTACCCAACATACAATAGGGGGGGACCACTAAGTCCTCAAGTAGTAACAATGTTTGTTTGGTATCTTGAAGATAGGATTTAAGTTTAATAACCAAAGGATGTAATAATTTCTCTAAAAATTGACTGCTTCTCTCAGTAATGGAGCCGTTCCCTGAAATAATTGGTCTGCCCGGAGGTTTAATTGGATTCTTATGAATTTTGGGAAGGCAATAGAAGGTGGCAATTGTTGGAGTCATATTAGGGATAATGAATTTATATTCTTCCCTAGTAATGATACCATCCAATTCTGCTGTATCCAAAATACTTTTTAATTCAATCAAAAATTCTGTGGTAGGGTCCTTTGGAAGGTGACTGTAATGTTGTTCATCTTGGAGATGTTCCATGCACATCTCAATGTAATTGCTTTTATCCAAAAGGACCACATTACCACCTTTATCAGACGCCTTGGTCATCTTTACCTACATAAGTACTTATCATCTTCTCTAGGTTAATGCTTTGGTGTACTAATTTGCAGTGTTTAGGCTACTATTTATTATGACAGATAGCCTTTTCTCCATTATAACAACATACTCACCAATCATTTGTGTCTTTGCATACACTCATATATTTTCCTTTATGATCAGATTTTTTCTTTATTGTTTCTCATCTATATTAGTTATATTGTTTGCTCTCTTTATCCTCTTAACCAGCAATATTTAGAGAAACTCGACTATATTCATAATATCCTTCACACCTAATCTCTTCAAATATGGCTCTTTTTCTCTAATTATGATCGCCTACTAAAATTAGTCAAAGAACTTGGCAGAGCAAGGGTTAATCTACTCCTCTTGAAACGAGTTTGATTCCGTCACAACATTAACGAGATTGCACCAATCAGGAACTTTTTTGACTAACCAATAGAAACATTGTTTCACAGATTTAAACCAGACGCAGTGTACCGACCGGTTCCCCTCTGACGAGCCAGGTCGGGCGAAACGCGCGCGTCGGTTATAACTACCAAGTGACCCGGTGATTACTTTCCAGTCCTGATACATAAGACTAATACCACTGATTGAGATTCTTTTCATCTTTTTATTTGCACAATTATTCATAGGTAGTTATTGTAGCACTTTTTTTGTGTGGTCTTCACCAGTGTACACTTGTATGTCTTTGGTTTTAATATTTATTAATAAAATTTATTTATTTTTTCCTTTTTGGATTATATTACAGTGGTATACTTTGCTAAATAGTATACCTTCTCAGCATTATTGTCTGAGATTGATATACCCATTATGTAACCACATTTTGCTCTGTACTTTAGATATATAACATGTAGGTACACTTCCTGTTTTTTCTTGATATGTTACATTTGGGGTTACCCCCCGTTTCTTTAAGTGTACCTGTTATTTGGCTCTATTCTTATTCTCTTTTGGTTTTGTTCCTCATTTGGTTTTAATACCATATTTAGAGCCTAGTTAAGTCGATTAAAGATCATGTCAACTTTCTTAACAAGCGTGGTAAATCCCGACCCTGGGTCTATTGACATAAATAATGTCTTCTCACTAAATCCATTAAACACAGTACCTGGTAATGATATGAGTGAAGTATTTTTCCTCATTCAGAAATTATACCAACAACAGATAAAAGGATATTGGGAATTAGTGAGTTTGAAACAGTACATAGATCAGAAACTTGTACCACGGGGGCTCAGACCTGAGATCCCTTTACCCGACAAAGTTACCACTGAAGAGCAGACCCAAGAATGGAATAGCATTTTATTGGAATGCTCAGCAAAATTAATGCAATTTTTAATCAAACTCGAGTCACAAAATTTGGAGATTACGAATCAGAATTTAGAAAAAGAACTAGTAAATGTGAAAACCTTTAAAGATCAATCAGAGTTTCCCCTTATGGAAAATAAATTACAAAAGAATCTAGACTCTTTTAAGAAACACATTAAAGAGAAAAAACATCTGAAATTTCTCAGAGACCACAAAGATTTCAAAGAGGGGAATATTTTTCGTTTAAAAAGAAAACCAAGAACCCGCAATTTCAGTAGAAATAGCTCTACATCAGGCAATACAGACTGGATGGACTCCGATTCGGGCTCATCCAGATCAAATAGTAACCGGAGAACTAGAGACTATTCAGATCAGACTAGGGGTAGAAGCATCCTTAAAAAGCCTAATAGAGGTGTGACCTTTCCAGTTAATCCAGAATCTGGGAACCACGATACCACTAAACAAACAGAGAGGGTAGAAAAATCTTCCTCATCTCCTTTTTTAGAGGAGGATTGGCCACTTCCATCAGGTGGCAGACTAAGGGATCGGAAAAAATGGGGATACAAACCAGACAAAAGAATCAATCTGACCTAACAACGAGTGATGCTAATCGAATAATAAATTTGTCGACATTCACACTTAAAACTCATCACCTTTCACTTCTTAACAAAGGTCTGTCTTTTGTACCTACCCCTAATCCCAACAAATTTGACTGGATAAAAGATACAAATCTATTTGGTAGAAAAC